GGAAAGCTGTTAGGAGTTAGGAAGTTAATTGGGACAGTTATTGTAGTTAGTTAGTAGAAGGGGTTTGTGAGGTAATCAAATATGAGGAAGAGGATGTATGGGAAGCGGATTGTTTCATTTGTAAATTGAACTTGTGCTCATTGTGAAAGGAGAAATCTTTGGAGGAGTTTAAAATCAAGTATGCGCTCACCATGTTGAATTTGGGCTTTAAGCCTAACTCAAGCCCAAGAATTAGCTCATAAGATAGGGATTGTTTTAACCTTTATTAGCTCTTATTTAGCCATATCTATAATTAATGTGAGGCTTCAACAGATACTTTGAAGACATATAATTTCAGGATTATGTAGAATTTGAGGCACTATAACAGAACCACAAACGATGCAGAATTAAGCAAATGTCTAGAGAAAAAAAATGAATCAATTAGAACTCCATAAAACTGCTTACAACTAGAATTTGAAGTTTGCTGCTTCGACGGACAACCGAGTGTGAATGATAAGTAGAAGGGTGATACTCCAGGAAGAACTGCTCAACAGTATTGGTACAGGTGCTTCCATGTGGAACAGGAATAGCTCTTACTAATATGGTAAACTGATGAGGCTCAGGCTTGGATGAATAGAAGCAAGCAATTCTTTTGGATGAAATATACTCGTACTCCTGCAAATGGCATTAATATCAAGCATGAAATTCATTCACTATCTTTATAGTTTGAGAGAAATGGAAATGTGTGACAGCTCATACAAAGAAAACTTGGATAATAATAACTTACATAATAAAGAAGAATGCAGACAAATCCAGTGAAAACATATGCGGCGCAAAAATGGGTCCATAACCTTGAGAAAGGTCAAATCTAGAGATCAGAGTTCCCACTTCCCATGTTATAACTTACATAAAAATCAACAACACGTGAAGAATCTTTCATTTATACAAGTTGTGTAATTACAACAGCAAATATATATATTTATTTGTTTATTTATTTATTTTTCAGAATTGTTAGGATGGACTTGCATATTTTGGGGAAGAAAATAAGTACTTAAAAAACCAGGACTTCACAATGTAAATGCATGACAATGGTAAATCAGTCTTGTTATCAGAACTTCCTTTTCCATTCATGGGAGGAACAGGGAGATCTGAATAAGATTTGAAACCACAATGGTATATCTTTTAAGCAGAAATGAAAAAGTGAATGAAAAGTTAATTGTTGAACATAACTAGCAACCTGATGTCATTCAATGAAATAATATTTTTGCACAATTATAAAATCAGCTCAATCTGAGAATTGAAAAAATATAATAGTATAAAAACAATAATTATAACTGAGATTACATAAACCAAACACTCTTGATACCCCAGTCTTGAAACACCCTATGCATAGTCAGTGGAAAATCTTTGAAATGGCTGTTTAATAACCATGCCATTGACATACCTTGAAGTTTTCAACTTCCAGCATTTAGTGATAGGATGAATGGCTCATTCCTAATTTCGTTCAGTGATTTCCTTTTAACACTTTATATAACAAGTTTAAAAAACTAATGGTCAAACACCCAAACTAGAGGAGAAAGGTGGAGAGAAGGGAAATAAATCTAACTTCTTAAATAATTTGTTGTAGAATATCATGATGCTGGAACTCCAAATATCAACTAGGTTTGTTTTCAAAATCTCAAAATGTACAAGCACTCCATAAGGGAGTCTCCCATTAAGTTGACAGCTCTCCATGAAATGCTGATAAGTTTTAATTCATAACTGGGAATTATATGCAAGATTAACAACTTATGCACAGTGACTGCAAAGATTAATTCAAGAATATTGGAAGCATTGTAAACAACCATAAGCAAGTTAAAAGATAAATCCATCAGGTGGAGTTCACAAGACAGTCAGTAAATGGTCATTTTAGGGAAAAATCTGACTGTTTTCACATCTTTTAAGCACTCAGATCCTACCATGCATGTGAGAAAAAATTAAAGAAAGAGTATACTTTTCAGTTCTCATCACAAAGCTCATCCCAATAATTCATATAAACATAGCAAGGAGTTCACATATATGCAGATTCGTCAATCAGAATATCAGACTTCTTGAATTTGACGCCAAAATAGAACCAATAAATTAATATTTCATATATGCTTATATCTTTCTAATGAATAAATAATACATAAAGATTTAAGATCATCTTGATCAATAATATTCACCTGTTTGAACCATTGTTAACGTTAGAAATACTGAAGGAATCCAAAGACTTGTTTTGAAAATCAGAATTATCTCGAAGCTGACTCCCCATATAATTAATCGGAAGAAGAATCAGTATCCCAACAATTCCACCAAAAGTAAATATTTTCAAACTGCACAATACCGTAAAGAGCAATGAGGATCAGCTAAACCAAAAAAGACAACAACGAATAGAAAGACCAACATATATTTTAAAGAAATTCAGATATAAGAGTAGTTAGAGGTTACGGATGGATATATTATATCATATGGACAACAATATTAAAATTCACTTCAAGTTAACTAATGAAAATACATTTGAATCAAATTTACAACAGGGTATAAATGATGACAAAGTGAGTCCAATTCTAATGCAGAAACCACCTATGCTTTTTACTTATACTAAGTATGCATGAACTTGGTTAAGCCACAGAATAGCGTTTAATAAGAAATGACACGATACTTCTTGGAACCTAGAATCAACTGAATAATTTAAATCACCTAAAGACAAATATGCGCATGAAGACAAAAGCATCTAATCCTGCAGTTGATAAAAATTCTTCTTCAGAGGGCTCCCATGCTTTTCTCACCCAACCAGCAGTAGGTATCAAATGTTCCAAGTCACATTGATCACCCTCTTGACGTTTTCTTTGGGAAACTAAGCGTGGTGCATAGACAGCAACATTACCAGGTTGCTTCCTCAATATAGAGTAGAGGGTGAAAAATATAAAACATAGGCCAAGGTTAATTCCAACTGAAGTTAGAAGAGCAGAAAGAATCATTATTGAAATCTGGTTCAAAACCAGCAGACCAAATCTGCACCTGACAACACAACTGTATTCCTGACTCCTGAAATCAAATAAAATGAAACTCTCAATTGTTGAATCTGAATAAGGAACACATGTCCAAATAATCACACTTTGAACCCAATTTAGTAAAGTGAAATCACAAGAGGACACAATCCACTTCCCAGAAGAAGGAGAAAACCAATTAAAACATTGTACATAGCATCAGATTAGAGGAAGTAATTTTGGCAACTCAGAAAATCTAATCTTCCTTCTGCTGTTGGCTTAGATTATAGAGGAAGTAATTTTGGTATAGATTAAGTTTTGGAGTTGGACTTTCAAAAGTTAATTGTACATAGCATTAGTGTTTATGCTAATTGTCCATATATATTACATTTTCCATCCCCAATGTTTGAGCCTATACAGTAAACTGTACACAGTATATAAGCTATGCAATGGACTGATCAATTATTACACTGTATCTTCTCTTATATACACAACCCTTAAGTTGAAAATTCTAGAAACAAAAACCTTGAGACATTCTCATTCTAGGAAAATACTATATCATAATGATGCATTATAGTTTACCTTAACCCAAAAGAAAGTTGTTTATGGTACAAACTCCAGGAACTCCGCTATGAGCAGAAATCTTTGCCTTAAAAACTCTCCAGTAATTCAGCATGGAGGTAGAACTGCATAAGGTTGATACAAGATTGCAGATTCAGGTTTATCGACAGTTCATGAAACGGATCTACATCCAAAGTTTCCTTTAAAAAAATAAAGCAATTTTCTTAGAACTATAAAGTTGCAACCATGCAAGGGTACGTTGCTTTACAAATTTTTGATAGAAATGACAATAAGGCACATGCAAAGATTCATAAAGAAACAAAGATCATGTAGTATAGACCAAATGATAGAATTGTGAAGAGAGAACCTGATTACGAAGCACATGAGAAATGCATCATCGAGAACATTGTTTGTGAAAATGAGCATGCACATGCACATGCACGTCAACATTCTCCGGCTTTTTTTGGTGGCAATCATGAAACCCCACGCCACTTGTCAATTAAACATTGCTTTTAAGTTTTACGTGTGCATGTGAGAGAGTTGAATCGTTGATTCATTGTCTCACTTACGGTTAGAAAATTTAAAAGACATTTTTTTTATTAATTATGATTAATAAGAAATGAAATATAAATAATAGAATATAATACATTAATACTACTAAATATGATAATTTTCAATCCAAATTTATAATATATAATTTATTATTCTGTGTAATATTCTACATTCTAAAAAATTAGATACAACAGTAATTAATTATTAAATATTAATGGTAAAAAAAGATCAAATAACAAACGTGGATTCATCAAGTACACGTGTCCTCAAGATCATACACGTCAGGCCTTTTCATTTTTGGTTGATAAATATCGCCAACATGTAAGGCTTTAGATTCTTTTGCTCGTTTCTTTTTTTCCCCTCTTCATTGAATGTATGGTATGTTTCTTTTTAGGTTGAATTCACGATCACAAGGTTTTTAATTTGTTTTTAGACATACTTCGTCATGTATGAAAATTTGATGTTTTTTTTACTAAGTTATTGCATTAAGTTTATGTGACTCTAGAATGCTATGCTATTCGGATCTTCTTTAGCAGCTTTCTATATTTCAAATATCCTAACCGTACCCTTGTATTCAATAGTCAAGATAAATCAGCTAACAAACTAGTAAATGATCAATGTAGTTCTCGGGTTGGTCAATCACAAATTGACCAATTTACTACTTTGAAAGGAAAACCGGCTCTAATTCGTTGAATCAAATGTTGTTCCCACCATGATGTATGTTGATAATCACCATATTACAATCATGTTAAGAGTAACCAAACTCACTCATGAGAGCATTGATGGGAAAAGGCAGGCTAAGTATAGCTACTATTTTGTTTTGGTCATGGCTATGTTTGCTAATTCTTACTTCAAAAAGAGACTGTCGAACTGTTGTGCATGAAACTTGTAATTTGGCTATGATGCTCTTTTTATTTTATTTATTACGTATATAAATATATATTTGATTCACTAATTCAACCAATGACCTAGCGACAATGAACTACCAGCCCAATCTAATAACATTAATCAATACACGTTACGAAGTGTGGATCTCAAAATTCTTCAATGGAGGAAATTTAACCTCTTGGGAAATCTCATACAGGAAAAACGCATCATCTAGCATTTCCCATTCATCAGAACATGGCACATTTCTTAATCGAACAGACAAGCCATTAAGCTTATAAACTGTGTGATTTACTGTTTGGAACATTCTCATCAAGTGTCTTCAGTAATTTCTAAGCAGAATATGGAATCCTCAGGGCCATCCTTTGAGCTAGCCAAGGTTTATCTGGTTCTGGATCAATGAAAGGATGAGTGAGGAACTGCTCTGCTTCTTCATCCAACAATTCTCTACACCATGTTACTCGTTTGGATGGACAACAACCAGGTCCAAAACACCTATAATTATGATAAAATTACTCCAAACTTCTTGAACTCAACAAACAGAAATTTTGCACTTAAGCCAAGTAAAAAGTGTTACAATTAAATACACACCCTCCAGCATATTATGTGAGTAGAACTCATTGAATTGTTGATTAAAATCAAACTTCTCAATTTTGAATCTTCTGGCAACATGAAGGAGTTTCACTATCTAATAACCTACATTTATAATGGTTGCAGTAATCTATAACTGTTTCATACCCCTGCAAAGCATAAAACAATGCAAAATGGAAACTGACACGACCTACCTGTATTCATAAAAGCAAGCACTCCTCTCATTCTCCATTTTCCCCCAGTTATCCCAGCCAACATGCCTTATACATTGATCCATATAAGTATATGCAAAGACCACCCTTCCAAAAGGTCCCCATGGTCGTCCAAGATATGCATATGAATTTCCTCCATTACCTGTTATAACACATCTGCAATGGCACCAGAGACCACTCGGGTAAAATACTTGTAAGGTACCAAATGGTCCCAAACATAAAGAAAGATTCCATGAAAAGGAAGGACTACAGCCAATAACTATGTCTTAGCATAACAAGATTACATTCGTAAACCAATTGAAAAAGAAATATAAGAATGGAACATTTATTCATATCATAATTCATAATAAGTAGAATGCAGTTACGTTGAATCAGCATTAAATTCTAAGAATTAATCTTAGTATTAGATTCTAAGGCTTGAGGAATGCTAGGAACCTGTTCTTTTCGACACCCGCTGTTATTTGGTAAATTTCATGTGAATCTCCCTAAAAAGAGAGTGGACTCATTTTTTGGTGTGATCCATATGAAGTTAGCATAATAACAGTGTGTTAAAAGAAAGTGACAAAAAATGTATTGCTAACATTTCTACTATAAAAGGACTTCTACAGTATTGGTAATTCAAAAAAGGACAATTCACATGTCAAATTAAAGTATTTCTTTTTTTTTTCTATAAAAGAAATGCAGAGAACTATTTGTAGAGAGGGTGGGGGTGGCAAAGTTTTGAACCTTATTCAATATCAAAAGTAGTTCTAAAGCAACTTACAACAAAAGTCTTATCTTGGTGATATTAGTTACATAGATCACACAACACCATTAGGCTTAGTAAAAAACCGTACTCTCACATATATTATTTACTATGAGATCTTTTTAATAGTTTGCTCCAAAGTTGAAAGCTAATTTAATATAAAATTTCAGAAGTTCTAAATCCTATGCCTAAAAGGACAAACCCAATTATCTTATTAAAAAATTAATGTTAAAATATTAGAATAATTATTGTTTTACTTTTTGGAGTATAAGTTATAACTGCACTATTACTTGACCTAAATATTAGTATAAATATGGGCATTAGGTTAATTGTTTATCCACCTCATAACATCATGATATTATCCAAACTCTTCTTTCACTCCTCTCTTTTCCTCAAGCATTCTCCTAAATTCAGAACCATTCAGTCATTGTAGACTTCTGACCCTAAAATAAGTTACAAATTTATTTCAAAAGCACCAAGAGAGAAGAATGTTGCCTTAGAATAACAAGTAGCAATTAGCAATCACTATATTTTTCCCCATAATATACAGAAGTTAAAACTCAATTCACATTGTTGAATAAAAAATTTGATTAAGAACTAACTCTTTCCTTGTTGGAGAGTTTAAGAACTTCTAAAGACTAAAAACACAGTAATAGGTGGTAGATGAGATTGTTGACACTGGAAAGTGGTCACTTACACACCTCAAGAATACATAACCAGTTGTTTCCTGTGATGATTTTCTGCTCTGTGCGGTTATGAAGCCTTCAGACTTGCAGTGGATATGACAATGCTCCAAAAGAGCGGTGCTATTGCCAAAGATAAAGTCCACACTACCTTCAATGTAGCAATCTTTCAAATATTGTTTACCATAATGTAAGTACAGTGTGTCCTGCACCACAATCATTGAAAAAAAAAATCCACTTGGTACCTTCCATTGAATATTGTCAAAGAAATAGTATTGGGGAAATGAACATCACACTAGCTAGTAGCTAGTCTGCCCCATCATGGCCCCAAGTTAATTTAAGAAACTGTTATTTTCAGGAGAACAGGGTAGAAAAATGACAATCATAATATACACTAAGATCACATCCAACAAGGGAATAACTTTAACCAATGCAATTTTAAAGATCATAAGCAAAGATGGATTCTTTTAGGGTCTTCAAATTTTTTTCAGCTATGCAACAAGCATATATCACCACACACACAAACAAGATCATGAAGCCCCAAACCTGTATACACTAATACAACAAGTCAGTGGAGCTACCTGCCACCCAAGGAATCTGCAATTGTAGAAGGCACATCGATCTGCTGTTACTCTAATTGCCACTGCTTGTCCCGAACCCTGGCAGGAAGAGAAGGAAAAGGAAGGATCACTTTATAAGGTCTTTCACAGTTTTTGCCTCAGTATATTTTGTCTCCATCAAACGCACGAAGATACTAACAGGGTTGTAGATGTACAAAGCAACAATACCAAATCATTAATGAATTTACAACCAGATATTCAACAAGCAGAAGAATAAATGTCAATGCATCTCTACCTTCAGCAAACGGCAGATTCATCGAGGAAAAACTTCAAATTACCAGTATTCGTTCTCTCAAATAAACACTAAGTAAGGTAAGAACAAGCCATCTACATGTCAACTACAGACAAGGGGGGGAGGAACTATCCAAATTGCATCATTTATTGAGCAAAGTGAATAAATTAACAAAGAAATTAGCACAAACAAGCAAACACTGAAATTTCACTACACAGGCATTACCTGAGGAGCAGAATTCTCGAAAGTAATATTCTCAGCAATGAAGTCCTCCCCTTCCACAATGGCAGTTCCACAACCAAACGTCCCAGTCCCTATCACCCTCGCAGGCTGCAACGAAAACCCATCACAAAAAAACACAATTTTCAGACATACCCATTAACTCAAACGAATAAATTATCAAAACAAATGAACAATTTTGACACATACCCATTAACCCAAACAACGAAAACATGATAAAAAAAAATTTTTTTATGACAAATACCCACTAACCGAAATGATGAAAAGATGAAGAGAAGGTGGGTACTTGGTGGTGATCGATTCCGGTGGCAGTGTTGTTCCAAGTAAGCACAATGTCCTCAGGCCGCATAGCAGCGAGGGTGATGAAATTCTTGGTCTTGGGAACGTACACCGGCTGCCGGTAGATTCCCGGTGAGACCCGAATCACCGTCCGGCGAGTGTTGCCGAACGGGACGACGTCGATTGCTTCCTGCACCGTTTGAAAATCTGCGGTTCCATCCTGTGACACCGTGAATATGCAAGCTGCCATTGTGTTCTGTACAGAGAAAGAGGTGAATTTTTTTGTCAAAGAAAGAAGAGAGAAACGGAAACGCAGCACAAAAAAAAAAAAAAAAAAAGGTAGTAACAGCGACTCACATCTCAGAAGCACATAAACCCGAATGATGATAGATTATGTGCTGTGAAGGTAGAGACACAGTTGCTGGCAGACAGACCCGTTTAGGCACTGCTGTAAGATTCATTACTGTTTCACTCCTGTAACGTAAAGAGGACAGAAAGTAGTCCAGGATCAAAATTGTTTTTTTTTTAATTATTTGTGTTAATTTTATTTTCTATTTTTTTAAAATCTGTTTTTAAGAGTGTGCCAAATAATAAAATACTAACATGTCCCCTAAATTCTAATGTGGAAAAATAGGAGCTAAAAGTGCAACTAAAATGTTAAAATGAGCTAATTAACTATTAAGACTAGTAATTAAGAAATTAAAATATGAGAAAATTTTATTATTATTTGATTAAAAAAATAAATATTATTTTATAAAATAAAAAATTATAATTTTTAAGAGTTATAATATGTAATTTATATAATTTCAAAAATTAACTTACAAGTACTCAAATTTAATACTTAATTATATTAATTTATTAGTACCAAAAATGTTAGTAATGTATTTCTTTAACATATTTTTTAAAAAAATTTACGATCAATTAATGGACAAACTTATGCTTTATTGTATACATCATTATTTATTAATTAAAATTAATATTTCATTAGAAAAGTATTTATTTTTAATATTATCACTTTTAAGTAAAAAATTAATTTTAATTATTAAACAACACTTAAGTAACTGTAAATAAATTTTGCTTTTGATTAATTTATTAAAAATTATTTAATTATGGAAAATGTGTTGAAAAATATGATCTAGCATTGGTGAAGGATGAAACTACAATTTTAATGTTTATAATCAGTCATAACGGCAAATAATAAAAATCCATTTGAAATGAGGATTTGAGGGAGAGTCATAGAATCAAATCGAAGGGTGTAGCCGCCACCGCATGTTGTTGTCTTCTTCCTTTCCATGTCCATGCGGCTTGTTCCTTTGAGCCTTCCCTTCAAATCCAAGCACAAAACCAAACACGGCTTAACCTTTGCAACCACTGCACTCGCCCACTCTGATTCCGATTCTCCCTCTCTCTCTCCCACCCATTTCACCAAACTTCAACAATCTTCATCTTTCACACACCTAACCACCTTCAACGTCCTTCAAACTCTTCACCACTTGCACAACCACCCTTCTCTTGCACTCTCCTTCTTCACCCAACTCCAACAGCGTGGCTTTCCTCACACCATCTCCACCTACGCTGCAATCATCAGAATCCTCTGTTTCTGGGGTTTGGATAGAAGGTTGGATTCTCTCTTCCTTCACCTTATTTCTCTCTCCAAACAACACCCTTCTTTTCAAGTTTATGACTTGTTTGAAGAACTCTTGGTGGGGCTTAATGGGAACAACCATCAAAGTCAACACTACTTGCTTAGAGCTTATGATAGTTTTGTTAAAACTTGTGTTAGTCTTAACATGTTTGATGAGGCTATTGATTTCTTGTTCCAAACTAGGAGGCGTGGGATTGTACCCCGTGTCTTTACATGTAACTTTCTCTTCAACCGTTTGGTTGAGCATGGTGAGGTGGATAAAGCATTGGCCATTTATGAGCAACTCAAGAGGTTTGGTTTGATTCCCAATGATTACACCTATGCCATTCTCATTAAGGCGCTTTGTAGGAAGGGTGATTTGGAACAGCCACTTTGTGTGTTTGAAGAAATGGAGAAAGTTGGAGTCACCCCTCATTCCTATTGCTATGTTGCTTATATTGAGGGGCTATGTAATAATCATAAGTCTCATTTGGGATATAAGGTGCTTCAAGCATTCAAAAAGGGGAATGCTCCTATTGAGGTTTATGCCTACGCGGCTGTTATTCGTGGGTTTTGTAATGAAATGAAATTAGATGAGGCACAGAGTGTATTCGATGATATGGAAAGGGATGGGGTGGTTCCTGATGTGTATGTTTATTCTGCATTGATCCATGGGTACTGTAAGACTCATAATCTGCATAAAGCTATGGCTTTGCACAATGACATGATTTCGAGGGGTATAAAAACAAATTGTGTGATTGTTAGCTACATCCTTCATTGTTTGGGTGAGATGGGCATGACTTTGGAAGTGGTAGATCAGTTTAAAGAATTGCAGGAATCGGGCATGTTTCTTGATGGGGTAGCGTACAATATTGTGTTTGATGCGCTATGTAAGATGGGTAAAGTGGATGATGCAATAGAAATGGTGGAAGACATGAAAGGTAGGCGTATCGTTTTAGATATTAAACACTACACGACCCTTATCAGTGGGTACTGCCTTCAGGGTAAACTCATTGATGCCTTCAGCGTGTTTAAAGAAATGAAGGAAGAGGGTTTTAAACCTGACATTGTCACGTATAATGTAATGGCTTCTGGGTTGGCTAGAAATGGTCATGCTTGTGAGGCATTTATGCTTTTGGATTGTATGGAGAATGAAGGTGTGCAGCCAAACACTACTACACACAAGAAGATCATTGAAGGTTTATGTTCAGGAGGAAAGGTTTTAGAAGCTGAGGCATATTTTAACTGTCTGGAAGGCAAGAATGTTGAAATCTATTCTGCCATGATGAATGGCTATTGTGAAGCAGACCTTATAGAAAAATCCTATGAACTTTTCCTTAAGCTGTCAAACCAAGGAGATATTGCAAAACAAAGTTCCTGTTTTAAGTTACTTAGCAAACTCTGTGTGGCAAATGAAACTAACAAAGTCATTGTGTTACTTGAGAAAATGTTGCTGTTGAATGTGGAACTTAGCAATATAATGTGTTCTAAAGTATTAGCTGCTTTGTGCCAGGCTGGGAATATGAAGAAAGCTCACTCTTTGTTTGAAATTTTCATTCAGAGAGGATTCACCCCTAATGTTGTAACTTACACAATTATGATAAATAGTTATTGTAGGATGAATTGTTTGAAAGAGGCTCATGACCTCTTCCAAGACATGCAGAGGAGAGGGATCAAACCTGATGTCATTACCTACACAGTTTTACTTGATCAGAACTTAAAAGCAAATTTAAGAAGACATTTCTCTCATTCACATGGAAAAGGGAAGACAACACCATTTGGTATTTCCACCATTTGGAGAGATATGAAGCAAATGGAAATAAGTCCGGATGTTGTTAGTTACACTGTGTTGATTGATAATCGCATGAAGACAAATAACTTCCAAGAAGCAATTAGTCTCTTTGATGAAATGATTGACAGAGGACTAGAACCAGATACCGTAACATACACTGCTATGGTTTCTGGCTTCTGTAACAGAGGGAACATTGAGAAAGCTGTTATGCTTCTTAATGAAATGTCTTCTAAGGGAATTCAACCAGGCTTGCATATCATCTCGGCTTTAAAACGTGGTATTGTGAAAGCTAGAAAAGTGCAATTTCAGAAGTAGTTAATCAGTTTAGACTGTTTGCACTTGGATTTATTCCAATTTCTTAATGCCTAAAGGTAAAGCAGAATCACACATGCTACTGACTTATTTGCTGAGACTTATGACTGAAACATAGTTATTTAATTATTGCATTGAAAGAATGTATTTCCTTCTACAGGTTAGAATGAGAAGAGCTTTGCGAATTGCAGATTGGTTAAATGTACATAGGTATGGTTCTGCATTATACTGAATTAAAATGATATGTAATTATGAAAGCATAAGTAGTGTAATTAAGCAGAATTCAAGAAAGTTCATCTTGAATTTTTCCAATAAAATGGAATGATTTGTCCTTAGATGTCTTCATTAATTTTGTCAGTTAAAGAATTTACTAAAAGAAGAAAAATATGGATAAAAAAGAGGGATGATAAGGCATTTCTTCTCCTACAAAACTAAATAAGGAAGCTTGCCATCAAACAGAAACAAAAGCTAACCCCAGACAAAATTTAATACAAATAGCCTTATTCAAATCTACTGCTGGGACTATATTCTATAGCTATGTTTAAACAAAAATAGTTAAAAGAAATGTCAAAATGCAGGGTAAAAGAACTGAATAGAATATTTTCCTTTCAGCAACCTCTGGCTTTTAGGAGCACAACTAGAGACTCAAAAGCCATTTGACAATTCTAGCTAGCAGGAAGCTCAATGTAAGAATTTTTTATCCCCTCTTCCTTTTATGAATCACGATAAAATATTGTAGTTATCTACAAGAGGAATAGATACTAAATTAATTTCTCTCTCCAGGTTGGGTACAATTTTCAGTGTGGCACGACTTTTTTTGAATGATTTTACACATGTTTGAAAATGGATCCCAGTGGTAATTTAATTTCAGTAGGTACACTGTCACTATCACTGCCTTGATGGTGGTATTAAATATTGGGCCTACTGGTCTTTTGGTTTCCTGATTGATGAAATATGCTGATAATATTGTAGAGGTATCTCATATGGCCCTTACACTATCTACATACTTCATGTACTTGTTCTAGATCTTGGCATTGAAATGCTTCTTTATGAATAATATGTTTTTAAGAGACGAAATAATTGTAATCTGACACTGAAACGAAGACTGAAGTATGATATGATATGATGCCTTCTTTTCTCCCCTAACAACCTTGTTTGCTTTCCTTATGTTTATTCTGTAACAATGATGATGCAGCTGAATACTATCATTTTTCTCTTAAACGTCAAGCCTACATTGCAGGTAAATTTCCAGTCTTGCATTTCCACTTTTGTATCCAATTGTTCCTTGGTCCTCCACATGGTTAGCTTTTAGGCCATATCAATTTTTTGCTGGGGAATTTGTATTTTGGACGCACATGTAGACATAGTTTTAACACGTTCTGTAGAATAAGGACAGATGTTTTGCCTTTGCCCTAGTTTAGAGTTTACTGATCTTTAAGTGTTGCAAAATGCTTGTTTTAGTTGTTCTTGTAAAAAGTTATTTTAGTTCAGGTGATTTTCAAATACCTTTTATCTGGATATATTGTATTTGATGCTCTTTCTCAATCCACTCTTCATAAGTAAATACCCTCATCTTTCTACTTTATTTTTGCCAGATTCATGTCCAAGTATCAATATGATTACTTTGCACAACCTTTCTGGCTACATCTGTATATTAATATCCTGTTTCTTTCCATTTGCAGCTTTTCTTGGACATCATTATTGTATGATATCTCTGCACACATTTCCCCTCCTCCCCTAGCAAATATACTTGTAGATACGCCATTGACTGTGAATCAGATAAGGGTGACTCTTTAAAGTTTCTGTCATTCCATTGATTGAAGAACACATTCGTGATGTTATATTGCTATCTGAATACAATTATTTGGTAAGCTAACATCTACTTTGACTGCATTTTATTTTTCTTTTCAAATTATATCAAAACAAGATATTGTCGTAGGCTGATACATAACGTGTGGTGTTTAATTAGTATTTGATAATTTTTTATTAAATTAGTAGTCTCGTGTGACTAACTGTGAATATGATCTTATATTGTATTCTCTGATTGAATTTTCTTATAAAATGATAAATATACTTGTGCAGGGTCTGTATGATAATTTATTCATGTCGCATGTCTAAGTCCAGTGCGTACAATTTTTATTGTAGTGAAAGAGAGAAGTGGAGATGAAACAATATACCCAAATATGAAGAACTTGATCATACTTCGGCTTTGTTTGACATGCTGACCCAACGTAAATCTATCCTGTTTGCCTAGCCTTGGCTGCATCGTGTGATATTGCGAATTGCCAAATTACTTGGTTAGGATCTGGTTTACTGAATCATATGGTTTTAATTGGCCTGATTATGTAGCATTTTACAATATTGTATGAATTTATTTATGAATAAAAAAGAAATCATTCGTTGATTCTGTTTGGTAAGTTGGTTTCCATTTCTTGCACTTGTAGAATTTCTTTACTAACTAGTAGTTAAAAACAAATCTCCGTATTTAATTTTGGTAATAGTGTGGAGTGTGTGACTCTGTCTGTATTTAATGTTGGTTTCCATTTCTTGCACTTGTAGATTTGGGTAATGCTATTTAGATTTAGAGGTTTTTTCACTTAGCAATTACTCGTTTGTAAATCACTTGATAACAAATTAAAATGAGTGACTAGCTTATATTTTCCATGCTCCTCCACACGACACACTATGTTTTTAGAAACAATTATTTAACATTGTAAGTTATCATCATTTTTCCAGCTGTTTCTTTGGTAGATGCCCAATATATTTTAATTGCTTATCATATAATAACAACTTAGTTAGAAATGAATACATCACTGCTTATTTTCATTTTAACTTTGTATGTACGCATGAGGTACACCTTTTTCAAAAACTAGAGCATTAACCTGTCGTATGTTAATGTGAAAGTATTCAATGTATCAATAATTAAAAGCTATTGTATAGTCACCGAAGAATTGTTATAATGAGTGATCACATTATGTCAGTCCTGCATTTCTCTTGCATCAACACCCAGAAGTACATTCAATTATTCACAAATAGATGGTTTATCTGCTACATATATGGACTAATACCTAAGGTAAATTATTCATTAAGTGACAAGTCTATGATCTTCCATGTCCTACTACATCATCAAAATTTGTCTTTGAAACCTTGTTCTGATTTCACCAAGGTCTTCATACTATTTCAACATCTACCTTTGCAACATTCATCTTTACTTTCAGCCTCTTCATTTGCCTCTCTAGTTCGGGTTTGAGCGCCTGAAAGTGTAACTGTGTCATATATGGTATTGCTTGAAAGTTAAGACCTACCAACATACTATAATTAAAACAAACCTTTTGTATTCGGTCTAGATCTGATTCACAATCCCTATCCACTTTGCCCGCATGAAATTAAAGGAACGTTCCAAAATATATCAAAAATTATTATGGTCATAGTTCATAAAATGTGCTTAATGAACAAAAGAACTCTTGAAACCAAGACATACTCAAATATAGTACGCGATGAATCTATAAAGATAACAGTAAAACACTATAATCAAGTCACGTAAATATTTCTGCAAAAGTATTTCCAGCAACCGACAAGCAAGGGAAAAGAAAAAAGTTACAGTATCATGTCCAGGTATAGTATTTCAAGAACAATGCTCACTCAAATGAATCATAGTTTCAGCAGCATGTATATAATCTAAAGATAATTCAAGCGATAAGTACATTCCCTCGATTTAGTCACCAATAAGATCAATACGATTAAAATGGATATTAGGGTTAGTATTGCAATTGTAAAATGACAATGATGTTTTAGGAATCTATTTGTACAAAAGGCCTATTGTGTATCTCAGTTGGCTATCCTGATGCATAATGAAAGTTCTCCTTTTAGTCTCCAATCTCATCTCTCTCATTCTTCTTAATTCCCGATTTATCTTCTAGTACCTATCAGTTCTTTTGAAAAAAGCTACCACAAAATTATTTAGAAGGTTAAGAACAAGGGCTCTATCATAATCAAATTGCTTTTGATGCTAGGGACAACGGAACCACCATATACCTGCTGGTTTGAATGTGCTTCATATCATGGAGTCTTGGACCTCAACTTCTCTTTATGATCATATGGATTGAAGGTAGTCACAAAGGAACAGATTAAGACGCGTTTCCTGCATTGCATTATCAGGTAAGTACCAGATCATAAATCCCTGTCTAGAAAACCTCTAAGTTGAAACAAACCTGATCACATGTGTGCCCCTAATGTGTGTCATAACAACAACAATCAAGCTTTATCCCACTGGCCTGGTGTGCCATAAGATTACCTAATGTGAATGATAGCATTTCTGTCATTTGGTCATAATAAGTAATAATTCCTCAACAATTACCAGCTCAATATTGTCATTTGACCGTCATGGTCATCCTGTTGCTCATAAAAGAATACATTCACACTGTAATGGCTGAAACTTTAAACCACATACTGTGTTATGGAGACGGGCACATTCCTTTAGAGTGAAATATCAGCATCTGCTTGACTAATTCATCATAGAACAAATCCAACAACTTTCATTTCCAGGAATAGTTTCACATTCACTGCTTCATGAGATATTTACAGAGATAGTACTGGTTCCAAAAAATCTTCAACAGTGCCATTGTCTTGACAAAAAAAAAATGGCAAGAGAATCTGAAATATGATCAAACGATTTGAATTTGAAGTTGAACAGTCAATGAAAACGGTTATTTAAGGTCATCTAACAATTATTTCAACTTTCAACCATTCTACAGCCAATATAGTGGCAAAGACCAGAGGGATGGAAGATTCCTTACAGACAACTCTACAGCCTGCACTGAGGGTATCACCATTGCCTTCCACAACGATTGCAGTGAATTCCAACCTAAACTTCATGCTTCTACCCAACTACAGCCGGGATTTTTTCTTGCTCCACTAGCTAACATGGCTTGCCTCATCTCATTGGCTTCTACAGTCCGACCTGCAGCAACATAGATATCCCGCAGGAGAATATAGTATCCCGCTTCATCTGGTTTCAACTCCAACAATTTCTTTATAACCTTTTCCCCCATGTCAACATCACCGTGAATCCTGCAAGCTCCAAGTAGTGCTCCCCAAACAACATCATTGCTTGGAATTGGAATATTTGTAAGCAGATCATAAGCCTCCTGTAATCGCCCTGAACGTCCCAACATATCTACCATGGCACCATAATGCTCAATCCTGGGTTCAATCCCATAGTCCCTTTCCATGCTCTCAAACAATCTAATTCCCTCATCCACCAACCCCTTATGCGCATATGCAACCAGAAGCGCTAGAATCGTCACCGAATCAGGCACAACCCCATAACGAATCATCCATTCAAACAACCCAAATGCATCATCAGCATTTCCATGGTTTGCACACACCGTCATCATCGTATTCCATGTGATCAAGCTCCTCCTCGTCATCCCATCAAACACACGCCATGCCTGCGCCAAGCATCCACACTTCCCATACATGTCAATGAGAGCATTGCAAAGCGCAACCATCCACCCAAACCCATTCTCGTCCACAAACCGGTGAACCATCCCACCCGTTTCCACGTCTCCCAAACTCGCACAAGCTGAGACCACACTCACCAAGGTAACTTCATCCGGCCACACCCCGGCACGCCTCATCTCTCCAAACAACTCCAGCGCCTCTCTGGGCTGCCTTGCACGTGAATACCCTGACAACATAGCAGTCCAGGAAACCACATCCCTTTGAGGCATTTCATCAAACACCCTGCGGGCAACGTCCAACTCACCAGCTTTTACGTGCGCAACAAGTAACCCCGACCAAGACACAACATCAACATCCAAACCCAGTAGCAAAAGATCCTCAAAAACCCTACGGGCCAAAAGGGTCACTCCCCAACAGGCATACAAATGTATCAACGCGTTCTGCACGTGTAAGTGGCGACAAAATCCGAACTTCAAAACGGCGCCGTGTATGTCACTATGGTGGGTCAAAGGGGTGGTCCTCGATCGCGACTTGAGCAAGAAGGTGAAGGAATAGTGATCTGGGGCAACGTCGTTTTGCCTCATGAGGTTAAAGAAGAGGGAAGACAGAGAAGGGGTGGCGGATTGGGAGTGAGCGCGAATGAGAGTGTTGTAGAAGAAGGTGGTTGGGTGGGGCATTTGATCGAACATGCGGTGGGCGTAGGGTAAGTCGCCTAAGGGGGACACGGCGGCGAAGCGGAAGAGCTTGCCGAGGACCACCGCGTGTTGGTGGAGGCACGCGCGCAATGCGTGAGCGTGGAGGAGCTTGAGGTCTCGCATGCAACTGCACTTCTCTGCCATGTTAACGAGTGTTGATGCCACAGTGGCGGTTCCCATTTTTGTTGCAACGCAATGCTACTCAGACAAGTCATAAGCTTATCATCAGAATGACCCAGAAAAAGATTGATCGGGAAAATAGTGAGTTTGAGTTTGTGTTCTGTTAAAAAGAAATTTTGATTGTAACATCGCAAGTTCAAACCTGGATCTGCTTCAGTATTACTCACATTTAAAATGACTACCTTGCCCTTCTTTTTCTGGTGCAACTTCCATTGATTTCAATCAGTTTGTTAGAACCTTAAGTGTTATAAATTGTAAAAATGCATGTAAAACTTATAATTGGCAGCATTTACTAATTATCATTATAAATTTACAAAAGGAAACATAGTATAAATAATGTATCTCTATACATTAGGAACAGCCAGATAAATGGAAAAAAACCAAGCTAACCAAATAAATAAAATCCGTTTGAAGAATCCTAGAGGAGCTTTTTCTTCTCAAAGAATATCTTCAAATGCCATAGTTGCAAACCAGCCACAGACAAGCAAACCAAAATAGAAAGGAAACTGAAGGTAAGTATCTGCATGCTAGTCTCTGTGTTAAGATCTTCCATCTCTTCCTCCCTATATCAGTCATATGAAGTAAATCAATGCCATAAAAAATTTAGCAAAAACTCTAACATCAGAATGAATAAAAATATTAGTCTCAAGTAGAGTGTATGACCGCGTGAAGTCAAAGCTTAAAAGTTTAAACGTAAAATAGGAGTCTGTGGTTACTTTCATGAACCATACAGAGTATAACATGTAAGCAAAGAAATTGATTCATAAAGGTTGAACACAGGAGAGAAGGATGTTGGTAGGATAAAAGAAGGAATTTTTCTGATGAACCAAAAGCTTATGGCATGTTAAAGGTGCCACACAATAATCAGCCATACACTTGGCAAACAAAAAAACTTGTGTCACATTTGCTAGAACCTTTTATCTTCTGTTTTGTTGATGAAGTCATAAGTATTTTTTTGTGTGTATATGTAAGTGTTGGGGGAGGGACATGACCATGGCTAAACAGAGAGAAATCCATCTCTGGAAAATACTACAATTTCCTCTAAGCCAGCAGGTTCTCTATATCTTGCATTTAGAAGAAACTTTGAATGAGCCTAGTAAAACACTGCTCCCATCAGATCACATGGAGAAACACTGGTTACTAAATCAAAGACAAAACATTGGTCATTAAACAAGCAGTAAATTAGTAGGTAGAAATCATGACATTTATACCTTTCACGAAGATAAAACATCTCATCATGAATGAGTGTAATTAAGTCATACAACTTCTTTAACTCCAATTCCATTACCTAAGATGTAAAGAAACAGCACAATAGAAAACACAATAACAAATGATTAGATAAATCAGAAACCCCTTTAGCTTACGAAGGTGAAAGCAATTGTTTCATTCATGTTTATTAAATTCGTTCACAAGAAATCTTTCAGGTGTTAGACAGGAAATATAACAATGAAAGATTGGAATAAGCAATCACACTAAAACGTGTTAACTGTTCATACTTGCATGCTTTGACATCTTACCTAAGAAAGTACTTGTTCATATGTAATGAATGGGCTAAGCTAAGGTAAAAATTTGGATCCACAACCATTGCATGACATTAAATCTGAGTAAAGGACTTGCACCCTTTCTCATACAGGTTCTGCTAGCTCCATGTTTTGCCTACCCCTATCCATGCAACATAAATTATTCTCAAAAGTTTCATTGACTTAGCCTTCTTCTACACACATATAAATGTATAACTTCATCACAGAAATAATTGGAAACAAAATTAAGATGTTAAAAGACCTAACTATGGAGAATTGTAACATCTGAATGCTAAGGGAAGGAACATTATTATACCACCAAAACTTACTTCAATCTGCCCTTTCTTAGCAAACTTAGACCAGTCCTTGGCAACAATTCCAGTTCTCCAAACAAAATCAACGGTGACAACTAATGCGGGATTGGGATCAGACGGCACTGAAAAACAAGCAGTGTAATCACCAGTCTCAGCTGCAGTAAATGCAAAGTTACCGGTATACACATGATCCTCATAGTGATAACTGTTCCCATAAGGTGATCGCACCTGACAACTAACCACATTATACAAAGCCAATATATGCCAAAATGTGTAAGCCATTTAAAATTCAAAAAGAAAAATCAAAGAGTAAAATCCAAATAATAAATAAAATGCAGAGCAATTGAGTAACCTTATTGCAAGTAGAAAACAAATAACCTAAGGACAGATGCGTCTAAATAGTAGTCATGTCAGATATATATTCATCTTAGACATTGCATGATTAACATTCAAATACACTTTGATGCATTTTCATAGTTTTTCTTTACTTTGATGCATTTTCATAGTTTTTCTTTACTTCTTTTTTATCCCAATACTGATTGGAATATAACAATAATTAAATAAATTTTAACATTTTATTGTGTCTGTAATGATTCATACTTATTTCAAATACTTGTTTTATACATTGTGTTATAGTCGACTTGTACCTTACGACTTTTAGAATTTGTGATATTTTTATGTTTATTGCATTGTATTTGTATCTTGTGTCATATCTAGCTTCAATTATTCTTGTTCTCGATACATATTCTACCTTAAAAGACTTTGGAAACAAAAAGAGCCACATTTGGGATTAATTCATGGAAAAAAACTTAAAATGCAATGATATTGGTATTGTTGGTACTGTTTTCTAATAACATCGTTGTACCTATTAAAAGTTTTTACACATTATTGAGATTAAAACTCTAATTTTGATTGAATTATACTTAACCTTAATTCATTCACAGTAATAAATGAACATAACATACAAGGAAGAATTTCCAAATTAGAAAATGAAAGGGTCCAATATGGTTTTGTGAATGATGATGAGCATATATACCCTGACAGTGATCTTGTGAGAATGAGGAATAGGGTTCCCTTGGTTGGGATTAACGACGCGGTACTCGCCGACGGTGATGACTTTGGACTTGATGTCCTCGGAGATGCACTTGGGGTGACCCGGTTTCAGTTCGAATTCCATTGAATTCACAAAGCAACACAACAATGCGTGGCCAATAACTAGATGAAGAACCATCCAATTGGACATTGCTATAATGGAATTCGAATCTTCTCAATTTGGATGAACAATGAAAAAAAGCTTCTTCTCTTTTTTGTTTGGAATGAAGAACGGTAATTAAAATTACGAGTATTATCATTTTAGTCTTGTTTTTTTAATGAACTCTCAACTAAATATGTAATTTACCCATTAAACTTTTTATTTAATTAATTGAAGAGGGTATTTCTTTGTTCGCATTTGGTTTAAAAAAAGTATGTAAGATGTACTTATTGATTTTAATGATCTATTCATGTTCACATTCTCAATTAATACGTTTGTATCAACAATTTTTAAATTTCTTTTTACGAAACAATAAAATTGTTGAAACTCCATTTTTTCAGTATCCTTGTTCCCTTCTGGCTATCTTTTATCTCAGTAATAAAATTCACGTTATTTTTTATTAATAAAAATGTCAACATTCAATGAAAAAAAAGTTATCAACATATAAGGCTTATATCATCAACATAAATATAAGGCTTATTATTTTGGACAAACATTTATCATACAAAATTTCCTCCACCAATTAGGAATTTGGAGATGTTAATGGATATATTTCATATAAATAACATCATTCCTTTTGTTTAAAAAATAAGAATAGTTATATAATTGAAGACACATGGGAATGTTCATAACTAGCACGTTCACAGTCTATTCACAGCTACATCAAACCCCTCTTTAAAGTGAACCCGGACTGTGTCGAGGATGGTTTTGGTCCCACTTCAACACAATTTGAGAAAATCATCAAAAGCTTGTGCCAACATTAAAACAGCCACAAACCTTTTCCTATGTCACAACTAGCATAGCATGCATAGGTACTTTTGCTCCAATCTAAGAAAATTGAATTTCATATAGAATTGTGTAAAAAAAAATTTAGAGGCCACATAATACATTTAACTGATCAACAAATTCTCACTTACCTTGACATTTGAAGACACACAGGAATATACATAAAAACCGTACAAACCGTGATTGTAGGCAATAACATGCACGTTAAGCTTTTGTTTACAAAGAAGCTTGGAAAGTAGTACAAGACAAACCTAACTCCTTCGAGACTTGAATGGAATAATTGAATTAGTTGGAAAAGTTGGATGATAAGGTAATCACGACATTGACAAAACAAACCAAGTAGGTAGGTGATACTATAAGACACACAAAAAGTACCTTCAATCTCTCCTATTACATTTTTCTTGTCAAGTTTCCTTTGTTGTTTATGTTCTCAAGTTACATACCACATTATAGTGAGACAATAAAGTTATGTTATTCTCCAACCTATCGTCATTGCAGCCCAGAAACGTACCTCTAAGCTTACTATAAAATTGAAATGTATACTTTTGTTGTTTTGGGCGGATTCAGCACAAGTTTCTCGTTGTAAGAAAAAAAATGAAGTTTGGGAAAGAATTTGCATCACAAATGGTGCCAGAATGGCAAGAAGCATACATGGATTACAACTTTCTCAAAGCTATTCTGAAAGGCATGTCAAAATTTAGGCAGTTAAATGAGTCAGCACAAATGGCATCAACCTCAAAAGGGTCTTTGAAGCGAAGGTTAACACTCTATAGAGCTTTCAGTGGTCTTACTTGTAGACAAAGAGGGTCTCCAAGGAAGAGTGAGGATGAAGTTATACTTGTTTATGCTGAGGAGGGTGAAGGTTCAGAAGGGTTGTACCAGACCATCTTCCTTAGGCCTTCTGAAGAAGGGACAGAACAAGATCTTGTGTTTTTCAAGAAACTTGATCATGAGTTTAACAATGTCAATAACTTCTACAAGAACATGGTGAAGAAAGTGGCTGAGGAGGCAGAGGAGTTGAGTAGGCAAATGAATGCTTTGATTGCTCTCAGAATAAAGGTGGATCAGGTGGGATTCAAAAATCTTGCTAGCAATAGGAGCTCAACTTCAACTTCCATGAAGCATCATATAAATGATGCCACCCCAAGTAAGCCAGACCATGTTCTTGTTTTTGTATCCGATTCTCCACTGTATTAGATAAATAAATATGATAACAAAGATTATGGATATTCTTTTGAATTATACAATGAGCATACAGTATAAGAATTATATGCAATTCATGATGTTGAATGCACCATATGGAATAAATATGAGAACTAAATCCTCCTACCTTTGGTGCCCGTTGATTTGGAGTTGTAAAATAACCCACTTGTCTATTATCATTTTGAAGGTCACTCACGTCTACAGCTGGATGTGATTCATGAAGTTGAGATGAGTAATAGTGGGCATTTAGAAGACAGAAGTAGAAATTTTGTAGAACCAACCACTTCTAAGACTTCAGTAAAGGGCTTTAAACCGGCTTCATTGGAGATCCTTGATCATGTGAAGATCAACATGACCACCCCAGAAACTCCTATATCAACCATAAAAAGTATTCTCTTGAATTCAAAATCTGACCTGTCATATAGCAAGAAAGAGCTCAGGAAAGCAGAGGAACAAATAAGTATAGCCTTAAAGGAATTCTATCATAAGCTTCGGCTTCTAAAAAGCTATAGGTTACATAGCTTCCTTCTTCCTTTTTTAACTTACAGAGAAGAGAGCTTGATTTTGTTTTTACAAGGCTAATCTTTATGCTTGATTGGTATGCAGCTTCTTAAACCTGTTGGCATTCTCAAAAATCATGAAGAAGTATGACAAGGTCTGATATATCATTTGAATGATAATTATTGCTTCTAATGTTTAGAGCTTAGTGCTATCTGACTGATAACGTTGCAGGTCAGTTCAAGGAATGCATCAAAGGATTACTTAAAGATGGTGGACAGTTCGTATGTTGGAAGCTCAGATGAGGTTTTATCTTAAAATCATATTCGTTCAATTAATCTAAAGTTTTCTTCCAAACCTAAAATGCTGTCTTGTTCCATGATGTACTACACAGGTTAATAGGCTCATAGAAAGGGTGGAGCATTCCTTCATTAAGCACTTCGCAAATGGGAATCACAGAAAAGGAATGAACACATTGAGACCAACTGCAAAGAGGGAGAGGCATAGAATTACATTCTTATTGGGTAAGAGCACCAAGAAGAGGTTGATTAATGGTAACAAATCCTAGGCTGCATTAGTGTCATGGTGAACATTGAACAATAATCAAGGTGAAGTGCAAACAGAAAGTAAAATGGATATGGAGTAATACCATATCTATTTAATTCTGTCTACGTAACAAGTTTTAATCCAGTAGCTCTCGTGTATAATGTAGGCCATCTTTGATTCGTTTTTGCTCATTGAAATTTCAATTCTTTCTCTGTCTCAGTACTATGCTTAGAAATAATAAGCCATTTTTATTTCACATGTCAGGGCTGTTTGCTGGCGGCTCAATTGCACTCATTGTGGCACTGATTGTACTGATGTACGCAAGAAATATTCTATATAGCGAGGGTCGAATTTTATATATGCAAAATATATTTCCTCTTTATAGGTAAGTTGAAGATGTTTGTTTGAATATTTACTATGCTATTAGTATTACATAATTGTGTGTATAGTTTCATGTATATCTAGTTATGCAACCCCAAATTTTGTTTTTCCATAATAATTTAAAATGTTAAGATGGTTTTCCACTACTTGGTATACCCCTTTTGGCAAAATGATGCTATGATTAACGAACCTCAACTTTTTGCAGTCTCTTTGGATACATTGTCTTGCATATGATCATGTACTCAGCAAATGTATACTTTTGGAAGCGTTATAAGATCAACTACCCCTTTATATTTGGCTTCAAGGAAGGAACAGAGTTAGGCTACAGAGAAGTCTTTCTTCTTAGCACTGGCCTTGCACTACTCTCATTGGCTACTGTCCTCTCAAACTTGGATATGGAAATGGACCAAACAACAAAAAGTTTCTCATTGACAGAATTAGCCCCTTTAGGCCTTGTCATTGTATGTTCTAAAAAAATATTTTTTTCAAACTTATTTTGACACTCAATGATATAATGATGCTATTGATGTTTGTATTTTTATTTTTATTTTTATTGTCTTTTCTATTGGACCATGAACATGTATGCTGATGGAATTTGTATTTCAGGTTCTGCTTCTTATAACATTTTGTCCTTTCAACATTATATATAAATCAAGCCGCTTCTTTCTTGTTCAATGTGCATTTCGTTGTGTTTGTGCTCCTCTTTACAAGGTAAAGGAAGAGAGAATTCCAAGCACACGCCTCTTATTCATGCTCAAAACTTTGCCAAGATATTAATATTGATTGTTAATGTTTTCAGGTCAATCTCCCAGATAATTTCTTGGCAGACCAGCTGACCAGCCAGGTTTAAAAGTGCATCTTATACTAAATCTTAATATTGATCACCACTTAGACTCATAATGTGTAATCTCATATTTGTTTGAGGCTGAATTTGCATAACTTAAGATTTCATCTATGCTTTAATGGAACAACCACTGGCTCTTTTTGTTCTGATTATTATATTTTTTTCATCTACTAATAGAATCTTAAGTGTCCAACTAGGTATATATTTTGTTTCAAGCCAATACAACTCTACTTTTGGGTTCAGGTGCAGGCCTTTAGAAGTTTGGAATTCTATGTTTGCCACTACTTCTGGGGAAACTACAAGACCAGATCAAACAAGTGCACTGAAAGTGACATTTATAATACATTATATCTAATTGTAGCTATTATTCCATTCTGGATCCGTTGTCTCCAGGTATGCACCTAATAGACTTATAAAATATCATTCATCTCGTTATCTTGAGAAAACTACAAGACGTTAACAACTAATAAAAACATTAACAATACATACACGAAATGTGATACAAAATTTTTCCGGGAAACGAATATAGTCACCCCCATTTTTAAAAAAAAATAAATTATGTAAAATACCTTTATTATTGATATAGACTCAGTTTAGGTGAGATAAGTTTTTCTAAAAAAAATATATAAAAAATAAATAATTTTTTCTCATAAATTAAAAATAACTTAACTTTTCAAGTTTTAGTGAAATTAAATTAAAATAATTTCTAAAATTTATGAAATATAAATTTATTTTAATTTATGAGAGAGGTTTCATTTATACTATTATCTAATTTTTTACTTTTTTAAAATTCTCATTAAGAAGTTTATTTAAATTGGGTCATAGTTAAAAAAAAAAAAAAAGAATATTTGACAAAAATTCACTTAAAATGGAGTGACAATAAATAGTTATATAGGTATATCAATGGAAACACTCACTTGATAAACATTTTATTCAGAGTTTCTTTTTGGTGTATAGAATTTGTCCAATTTTAATCATTGTCTAGTGAATCTTACATGATACTTATTATTTGAAGTGCCTTAGACGCTTACTTGAAGAAAGAAATATAATGCATGGGCTCAATGGGCTAAAATACATCTCAACATTATTTGCACTAGTCATGAGGACTACTAATGAGTTACATAGAGGAATGGTTTCGGAAATCGTAGCTGCAACTTCTTCAGGCGTTGCAACCATTGTTAATACGTATTGGGATATTGTCATAGACTGGGGTTTGATGAGAAGAAATTCAAGAAATCCATTGTTGAGAGATAAACTGTCTGTTCCACACAAAAGTGTATATTTTGGTGCTATGGTAAGTTATTACTTTCTAGTCTTTTCATAGGTAACAAATACTTAATTTATTAAGTTATTAAGACTCATAAAAAAATAGTTATATCTTTATTTAAATTTATTTTATTTCAGAAATATTTATAGTATTAAATGGTTAAACTAGTGTATTTTATATTAAATGAATGAATATATCTATTTTTATGAATAAAGTGTAAATGTTTTGTTAACATAAATTTTACAATAAAAAAATGTATAAATTTTTTTAACAATTAATACATTGAAAAACAGTAATTATTTCGTATATTTAGAACCAAAAATATATTAGTAGTTATTTTTATAATAAGACCCGAAGTAGTATAAATTGCATGTGTATTATGATTATGAACTGTTGTTCTGATTATTGCAAATATGACATTTTAGGTGTTGAATGTTATACTACGACTTGCTTGGATGCAATCTGTTTTAGACATTAGGGAAGCTCCTTTCCTGCATAGCACAGCTTTGACTGCTTTTGTAGCTTGCTTGGAGATCCTTCGCCGTGGCGTTTGGAATTTTTTCAGGTACTTTAATTTATCGTGCTTAATTCAAAAGCCTTTCTAGCAATGTAGCAGAATGTGTATGTGCATGGAAGTGCATGCTGGTTTTGGTCACTCTTTAAGAATGAATCCTGATGCACCATGATTAACCAAACATGGGATTTCTGCATGATATATGATATACCTTTTATGCCTAAGAAGCGGTTCAATTGGGTAATCCAAACTCAATGTTCTAAAATTGGAAAAATGCTAAATAGCCAGAACTGTTTTGACATAATAAGTTAGCATGCTTATTGACTCTTGGATGAAGGAACGGTTCCTATTAGTTTATCTTTTCCAACAACACTTCTGGTTGTGCAGAATTAATCTCTAAAATTTCTCTTTACTGTGAAATGATAGTGTTGTGAACTCTTTTGTTTAGGCAAGAGTTTTCTAACAGGATACTTGTCTTCTAGACAAGAATGCATTAATCACCCTTTTCTATAAAAAAGAAAATTGAATTGCTTGGTTACTTTTCTTTATAATCAAATATTTTAAAAGAGATGAAGCACAAATTTCATGCCATTGCTGGAAACTAAGGAACAATATAGATCACTTCTAGCATTTTTAATTTATGGTATGGTAGAAAGAAAATATTAGATGTGGGACGGAAAATTTATAACTAGATTTGACGTATACCCTTGTCTGCAAAAGTAGAGCTTCATAATGTTCAATAGCTGAAGTTGCTAATATTGTTTGCAATTATAGAGATTATATGCAGAGGCAAACAATATTAGATTTCTAATGTTCTTCAAGAATTTGCAGCTTGTAATTTGGCTATTTATTGTCCTATTTGTTAGTGTATATTATTATATGTGCAAGTTATGAGTATTTTTGCCATTCAGTGCATTATAAGCTCAGTATTTATTTAGTTATTACTACTTGTTTAATAAGATTGGATATTTTCATGTTAACATTGAACAGGTTGGAGAATGAGCACTTGAACAATATTGGCAACTATCGAGCATTCAAGTCAGTACCCCTGCCTTTTACTTATGAACATGAAGATGATGGAGAAAATAGGGCTATATAATTATATAAACATATCTGGGATAGAAGATGAGGGAGCTATATAAGTGTCAAGATTGAGTGTTTGTTTATCTTTGAAAACAGATACATATTAAAACTAATATGTTTAAGATAAATACAAGTGTGTTTGGATTTTGTGATTTCAAATATTGCATTCTAATTAAAGCCAAGTAGAAGTTTATTTTTACAACTACACTAAAAGAAATTGTATTCGACTAAAAATATTTATAGTATGGCTAAATTAATTCTGTGTTTAATTATTTGAAACAGTCGTTCACTGGCAAAGAAAAAAAAATCTAATTTAATTAGGCACATAATCTAGTTTTAATTTTGAAAAACTATATTGATTTTCAATGTAATGAAAGGGTTTAAAATACTATAGACTAAACATTTTAGTCTACTTTCATATATGAATGAAAAACGCATGAAATTTGAATATTGTAGTGAGATTGACAATTTTAATTTTTCTTGTTTTGTCCTAAAATGCAGTGTTATGTTAAGAAAAATTATATAATGAAAATTTCAGTTTCTTAAATAAGATAAACTTTATCTTTAAAATTAATATAAAAATATTTTATATTATCTCTTTATTTATTTCTACACTCATTCACTCTTTTTTTTAGTTGTCTATACATTCAAACAACACATCATTTTTACTCTATTTTTTCTATTTCTATCATTCTCACTTTTTTTCTCTATTTTAATCATCTTTACTACTCACCATAATGAAAAACACAGAAGCTCTTCCTTTTAGCATTTGTGGATTGTGGAACTAAGCTATGATTGAGGCTTCATTTTTGAAATATTTGTTTACTTGCCATTGAAGCCTTTTTACTGTTGAATTGCTCTGAATATGGAGAAACTGACAAAGATTGATATTATTAGAGGGTCCCATGTTGTCTGATTCTAAGACAGGCAGGGAGCAATTTCCCCTTACTCTGTCTTTTTTATGACAGAACAAGATTTGAGGGAACTTTCCAAATGCTTTTTATTTCAGTAAATAATTTCACAAAATATTTTTTATTTATTAAATTTTTTAAAAATATATTATAATTTTTAAACAAAATACATCTTTAATTTCTAGTTAACTTAAACATTCAGCTAAATTTTTGGTCTAAAACCTTTTCAATGCATGGTGATCAACCTTGTAAAAACATAAAAATTCTATCATGCTTATCTTCGAAGATTTTTTTTTGTTTAAAATTATATTTACAATAATAATTAAAGGAGTGAGCTTGAGAAGGTATTTTAGTTAACTAAGAGTTTGTTTTACTAACTAAAAAATTGTTTAATAAGAATAGCTCTATTTAGTAAAATAGTAAAAAAAAAAAAAGGATAATAATTAGTGTTTTTTTAATACTACTTTAACTAGTATTATTTTACATTATTTTTTAGCTATTAGGTGAAAGTAATATTTTTATTTTTGTCTTTATTATTTTTTAATAATATTTACTTATGCTCATTGAATTTTCTAAAATATATAACTATTAAATTTTAAATTTGGGACTAAAAATTCATAATATCTTTAAATTTTACTTTTTATTCATCTATACCTAGTTAACTAATTTTTCTAAAAGATTATTTTTAATTCGATCAATTAATTTTTCAGCTTTTCAACTTTCGGTTAGTCTATTTGTAGTTCTGTCAAACTCATTTCACGTCTTTTCTCATCAAGTACAAGTACGATTGTATAAAACAAATCATTCCATATATAATATTTTTTCATAAATCATGTTTACGTATAGACAAAATATTAAACTCTAATTTTATGATTGAACTATATCTCATTCAATATATTTTCAATTATTAGAGCTTCTTTGAGTCTTTCCATATATGTCCAAACTAATATTTATGGCATGTTTTTACCATTTTGTATAATAAATGTTGCTCTAACTTTTTTTAATGCATTCATTCAAAATCCCATTTTATTTGCTATATTTGTTAATTTAATGTAATTTTTTATCCGTATCATATTACATTGTGTTTATCCCAACATTCATTTTGCTTGAGTTATATGGTAAATTTAATGTAATTGTATGGTAAGTTTTTTTAAATATATAACACCGAAAGTACCCCCCACGTCATTATTTTGCATGATTGACCTTATATACTTAAAAATCATGTTACTTATAAAAGGTAAATAGGGTGTTCATGGATTAGATTTTTTAAAAATCAATTTAGATCTATTTAAAATCTAATTATATAGATTAGATTATAAATTAATTTATTTTAATTTTTTTAAAAATTAATTTAAATTTAGTTTTAAAATTTGAATTTAGTTTAAAATCGGTTTTAAACCGTTTTTATATATAATAAAAATATACTATAACTATTTTTTAATTATTATTAAATTATTATATTAAAAAATATTTAATTTTTATAATAATTTTATTTAATTATTATTAAATTACAATTAAGATTGATCTCTTAAGCCAAAAATTAAAATAATTTTATTTGATACAACTGTTTTATCTTAATACCCATTCAATCACTTTTTTCAATAACCTCATGATACGACTCTTTATATTATCTCTATATAGTTTATGTAATTTTATATGTTTTACTTGCTTTTATTAAAAAATTAAAATATAGAGCTTCACATTATATAATGTTGACATTCTTCACATTATTTAGAATGAAGTGCAACCCGTGTCTAAAATATATGGCTGCATTGAGACGATGTGGTTGGTGCCACCACAACCCAACACACTTCCCAGAATTTAGGGAGAGGATGTCAATATTAACTTAATATAAAAATTATAATTAATAATAAAATTTTGTTAATCTCAACTCTTAAGAGCTGAAGATAAATAATTAATAACAGTTAAATTTTATTAAAAAAAGTATTTATTGTATTTTCATAATTTTAATATAATAATTATGTGAATTTTTATTAAAATTTTTATTATTAAATCTATGATTAAATTTTAACGGAAATGGGACCATTGTAGAAATATGTTTGATATACAATCCAATGAAAGAAACAATTGAATTGCAGAATAGAAATCAGGAACATTAAATGTCGTTCGTTCACATTCTCAACCCAGTACTTGAGCAAAGATGGGGGCCACAGGGATTAAAAGATCAATCATTTATTCGCTAAAATGAACTTTAAAATAGCAAGTTTGTACTTGAAGACGTCAAAATATCCCAATGCGGGAAGTTGTACTTGAAAGTTTATAATTATATAAATAATTTATTGCATTAAAAAGTTATTCAATAAAATAGTTTTTTAATTAATTAATTTGTGTTCAATAATTTTAAAAAATATCATATTATATTAATATAATATTAAAATTAAATATTATTGAATAAAAATAAAAATATAGTGAATATTTATTGGAAAAGTGCAAATTTAATTATAAATGTTAATAGAAAAAATAATTCTTTAATATAAAAAATTTAAAGAAAAATATATTAATTATTGAAAGGTAAAAAGGATTAAATGGCACTAAAAAAGTAATAAAATTAAATAAGTTTTAAATGTGTAAAAGATAAGTTTTTTTATTTTTAAATAAAGAATAAAAATATAGTGCAAATATTAGTAGCTAATTTTTTTTAAGTTAAAACTTTTTTAGATAATTTTTGAAAATTTAACTTTTAATAATTATACGTTTTTTAATTTTTTATTTTATTTATCAAACACTTCTATGAGTTTATTCACATCTATAAAAATTTTCTTATATAAACTTTAAATTTATTTATGAATATATGTTTATATATTTATAAAAAAAATATTAGCTCATATAAACTTTTTAAAAAAATATAAATACTTATATTTATAAAATTGATCATATTTGATTTATAATTTATAATATTTTTAATCAAAATTTATAACAATTACTCGTCCTTAGTTTTGTGTAAACAAAAAATATCTTTACTTTGTTAGAAACTGAAAAATCTATTTTATTTATATTTTTTTTCTTAAAATTTATATTTTTTTCAAATTTTTTCTTGCGATCTTTCTTTAAATATTTTTATATGTATATTTTATTGTACATAAGAGTACAACTTAATTTATTTTAATTTTAATTTTAATTTTGAAAATTTTATCTCATAAATTTATAATTGTTAATTGTCGACATTTAATTAAAGATTTTATAATTATTATAATTTTATTAAATAGTTATCATTTTATACATACTATTAGTTGTTATAAATTTAAATTAAAATATTTTGATATTTATTTTTTACACTAGGGTTTTCTTTCAAGATAGAGTCTTGGAGAGGGGTGCCGCTAAAGTTGTGCTTAGGTTTCAAATCCCGAGCTTCTCTGGCTCGGGGAGAGCTTTACCTGTGCATATCGTGGATCTATGACGGAAGGGATCTCCATTGCAAGGAGACTCAAGAGGTGTAGCTGGGGTTTTCTCTCTCGAGTTACTCTGCTAGGATTTTGTTGTCAAACTGTACTCCTAGAGGAAAAGGCGCCACTTAGCACTGTTAGGGTTCCTCCGCCCTCTGGATCTGGCTCTGGCTTGAAGAGGGACGTCAGTCTCGATTTCCTTCAACCAAGCTACAGGGAACGGCTTTTATCCCAGACAGCCTGCTATCTCACGAGCATGGACAAAATGGAGCACTTTGAAGCGGAGAAACGGTTTAGCAAAGAGCAAGAGCTGGTGGATCGAAGCAAGAAAAAGTCAAGATCGAGGCCAAGGTCGTGACTGAGGATGTTCAAGCAACTAGACAAGCAGAGGAGTGTTCTGCTGATCTGCCAAAAAGGTGTCTTCTTCCTATTATCATTTTCCTCTTACTTCTTATAGAGATAAAGTTTTAAAATCTAGGAATTTTAACATGTCTCTTCATAATATTGATATTGTGAACACTGTTATGGAAAAACTTAATATTCCCATTTCTGAAAACGATGATCAAGAAATAAACCCAATGATTTTCAGAAAATTTGTCCAGAGCTTAGGGTTTCTTTAGATGATTATGAACAGTAGTATTCCCCGTCGAAACTAACCCTAATAGTCAAACTTCTAGGTAGATCAGTGAATTTCAATTATC